TGCAGAAACTGTACGTGTACTGTATGTATGATCATAATGACATGATAAGGTACTATACACATAGGTCTCTCAGCTTTGAAGAGGTAGAGCCTAAATCCAGTGTGAGACTCCTTAGTTTGTATAACTCCAAAGTAGTACTGATCCTCTGGATCATGAGTAACATAAGTAACCTTATCAACTGGGACCCGAGTTACAGACTATAGTTATTAATAGTTATTAATAGTTATTAAGGTGCAAAAAGATGGAGCTAGATTGAGAGGAGTGGAGTCCTGTACTGGTGCTAGCAGAACTTGATCGTCACAAGACTGAGATGCATCAACTTGATCTTCTGACTCTGAGAAAAATATTTTAGTGGTGGGCAATACTGGCCAAAATGGATTGAATCTGATACTGATGGATATCAGCCCATATCGAGAGTATTGATACAGTTTCGATCCAAAATTTAGACCACACCTATGAAGTCACACCCCTTATTATTGACTATTTTCATTGATTCTTCATGTACTTGTTTGTATCAACGTGTGTGTAATTACATCATTAACTTATTAAAATTTTCTTTATTAATATTATCTAATCTCAATAAGTGGGCATGGTCAACATATCAATACAAATTTCTTTAAAATTTCAATACCGACAAAAATCAATACCATAAAGTATCGTTTGTATCGATAAAATATCGATATATTGCCCAACACTAAAACATTTGAGGCCATGCTTGTGATGTACATGTACCTTTTATCTCTCGTCATAAAGTGATACTCCTTTCATGTTTAGACCTAAAACTGTTTTCGGCTTGTCAGCTCTCATATTCTTACTAGCCGTCTATGAAAGGAGAGAAGCAAAGCTATGAGCAACAACAACAGCAATGACTGATTCATGAAAGTTTTGCTCGATAGATATTAAATCACTCCCTCCCCCTCTCTCTTTCCTTACCCTCAAAGTACGTAGGCAGTATCTACATGTCAGTAGCACTGAGCTCCAGCATCACCACGTCTCCTGATAACATTCTCAGATCCAACATACTGCAAGTTGAATGATTTAAAATTTAGTGTATGATGCAATAAATGCATTTTAAAATACCTTAACTCTAAATTGGAGTCCCTCACATGTACTACTAGTCTCCTACCCGTACAGTAGAGTGTTCACTCCTCTTCACTGGTTTACATTCTATAGATAACAAGAGGTAACAGTAACTGAATGATACACTAATAGTAACAACACACGAGTCATAATCAAGTATAAACAAAATACTGACCTGGTGCTTTGGCTCCCATTTTATTTGGAGGTAAGTAGGTAACGCCCTTCTAGTTCTATGACATCATAAAAATTTCTTAATTTTGTTCAAAAAATTTTAAATAAAAAAATTAGCAAAGTATACCCTATCAAACAAGCGTAACAGTGTAAAAAATATTCCTATAATTGATTTCACCACCTTGCAAGAATAACTGGATTTTAGTAGGACTTATAGAGGCTCTCTCTACCTTCTAATGCTTCTAGAAAAGTCTTTAGACAGTATCTCTATGTTATCTTGCTGTTAGAAAGCTCTTTACTTTGTCCCATGTTTAAGCCGCCATTTTGTTTGCCGTGACCACACCCACTACGTAAAGGAGCGTGGGCGGGTGGTTGCTAAGGCTTATGAATTTTGTTATTTCTCCAATACAACATGTATAGAAGAAATGTAAGTGTGGACATACAAATATATATATATATATATATATATATATATATATATATATATATATACAAACATCGCACGTGGGTGAATTCAATTATAGGAACGACCTGGGGGCTACGCCCCCAGGTCGTTAAAAATCCAATCACGGACCCTGTGTCAGCCGGTTTGTACTGGTTTGAATGGATCACGTGAGCTAGTTTCCAATCCTGGTTACGTAGTCTATAATATCTATGATTATAGATTTTATACACCTCTTTTGAAGTCGGTTGTCCACTGCGCATGCGTGGTTGTTGTCCATTCATTGTCATTTAGAGCAATGGTTTAAATGGAGTTAATCAGCAGGGGCCATCCTCGCTTGGGTTGACCGCCCATGGCGTGGGCAGTATGCATTGTGCAATATTAAGGCCTCCATACACTAGGCAACATGTTGCTGGCAACTTCTGTGGTCACTTTGATCTTGTGTCTAAGAATAGAATTCTGTTCTATTTTGGAACAAAATGATACAAGATCAA